TGGGAGAGGACAAGAGAGCCAAGAAGGGACAGAGGTTCTGGGAGGCTGTCCCTGCAATGCACTGCTACACCACCACCCCTAGCCTCCAAACTCAGGGTGTGAAACCACAGCCATCTTGTCACCTCTGCACACTATAACACTGGGCTCTTTCCTTCCTGTCTGCCCAGCATATCATGGGTCCTTGCGGTTTTTTTTCCCCCCCAGTGCTGGGCATAGAGCCGGAGATACAGTAAGTACAGTTTTAAGTGTGGAATTATTAAGAGCATGGACTCTAATAATCTTTAAATTCTAGCCCATCCACTTCCTGCCTGTATGACCCTGGCACCATACTTAATCAATCTCTCTCTCGCTCCCTTCTTCCCTTCTCCCTCTTCCTCTGTTTCTCTCATATCATCTAGTTAAATATTCTCAGACACCCAGCTCCTCAGAGAAGTAGAAAACTAACATGTTTGGTGGAGAATCATGCCCACTTTGTCTTTCCTAGATCTATGCACCCCTGGGTAACCCCTAAGCCCCCTATCAGGAACCTGGGTTTGCCTGACATAGCAAATTAAAATAAAGGACAAAAGTTATATTTGTATTCAAGGTAAACAACACATAATTTTTTAGTTAAGTATGTTCCATGCCATATTTGGGTGCATAAATCTTAACAGAGTGTCTTGTGTTTTCAATGGCAACCTCATTGGAACCCCTAGGACCAGGGCCAATTTCCTCAATGAGACCTCTGTGGTGGCACAGGCTCTGGGCTCAGAAGGACCCCTGCTAGTTTCCTGCTCTGGTATCACCCTCTTGAAATTCTTAATAACTTTTAGACAAAGGGTCTTCCCATTTTTATTTTACTCTGGACCCTCAATTATGTAGCTAGTCCTGTCTCGGAGTCCTCAGAGCATGACTTAGGCCCCTGGTATTGTAAGTACTGCCATGGTAGGTGATGCCACCACCCTGTTTGCTCCAAGTCCTAGTGTGTCCCTCTTGCCTGGTTCATTCTTGATGCAGAATGATTATCTGGTAGTTTTTCCTTAGGAATCGTACTTTTCCATTCCATTTGGCTCTAAGTGTTTCTGCCTTGGCAGGAAACACTACTTGTTAGACTTTTTAATCCAAGTTTCACTGTACCTGGCATAAATCAGTGAAATACTTGGTGTGCAGAAATGCTAGTTGTTTCATAGATGCCTTGAAAAGCAATTTGACCTAAAAAATAACTTTTATTGGTGTTACATAATCGGTGTTGCATGATGCATATGATATTTATTATAAATGTGTGTTTCTAACATCGTCATTCTGCACAATTGCTCACACTCATAGTTTCCAAACACTGGCTGTAGATTAACTTGATTTCTCCTGCACATGGGATATTTTTTAGAAGAAAAGAGTATTGCTCTTCTGATTGTTCAATCATCCCAGAGTTCTCTTAAGAAAGATCTCCTGAGCAGTTGTACAGGAAGAGAAAGGGTATAGTACTCACACTTAACATGAGAGGTCTGTGTAAGTGGCCAGAGAAACACCACCCACAACCGTCTAGAAAGAAATCATATCACAAGTTGTCTTAAGGAAACCTGGTACAGGTAGATAGCAGGTATGCATGAGGATGTAATCATTTGTATTGCAAAAATAGTGTCTAAATTTATAAAAAGTATCCACCATGAGGTCCATTTAAAACCATGACATCTCTACTGCAGCCAGAAGATTCAATGAATCTTGAATTTTTCTGGTTTTGATAATCACTATTTTATCCAACAGATTTCTTTTAGGGAGGTTCTACATGATGGCTAGAGAAAACCATTATATATTATTTCAATTGTACAACTTGTTGTGCATTTATAATTATTTTGAAATAGAAAGTTAAAAAAACTTACATAGGGTATTATAATGCATTCAAGAACATATCTATGAAGTAAAAATAAACACAGCCTTATTGCATGCTGAGTCTACCAGGTGCCTGATCAGTTCGACCTTTGCTGCCTCCTAGTAACTTGTCAAATATAGTACCCAATCTCCAGATTTCATGAGAGCTGATAGATTCCATCATTCATTCTTTTGCCAAAAGGGCAGGGAGTGGCAACAGCAGGAACAGAAGAAAGAAAGAAGAGGAATAGAAAGAAAAATAGGAGAAGAAAGAGGAAGAGGAGAAGGAGGAAGAAGAGAGGAAAATAATATCATTTTAAAAAGCATATAATTTGTCTCATGATCCAGATAAAGGAGGAAAGACCCCAAATGGGCTATCTGCTCTTATGGTATCACCAGGACCCAATTTATCACTCTCTTCTCAAGTTTAGCATTGGAACATGATTACTGTATCATCTTGGTTATAATTCTAGTTAATGATTTAATTTTTCAAATTTAATTTGCTTAAATAAGAAAAGTGGAAATGGTGACAAGTCAAAGGGAATTAGGGGGCTGGGGATTTAGCTCATTGGTGCTGCCACCTGCCTCACAAGTGCAAGGTCCCAAGTTCGATCACCAGTACTTTAAAAAAATGTAAAGGGGCAGTTAGGGACTGAACGCAATAGATGAGTTACTGAAACAGGGAGGAAGCTTTTCATTCATCCACTCATCCAAGAATGACTCCTCAGCTTCTACTCTGTTTCACCAGTTGCCTGGTGGTAAAAGACACCTCTGACCCCTCGGCGCTTACATTCCAGACAGCAGGGGGCGCACACCGGGAGACAAGCTGCTCTCTGTGTCCTCAAGTGGGGATGCGTTCAACGGAGAAAAGTAAAGCAAGAGAAAATACAGAAGGTGGGGGTCAGGGAAGGCAACTGTTTCATACTTGGAATTTTGTCATTTTTGTAGCTAGAGGGAGATAGAGTTTGAGTCGCCATAAATTTAATAGATTAGCAAGAACCAAATGATGCAAAAGTTAATTTAGTGATTTCTCAATGAAGCCGAACTTGGCTGCTGTATCATTTTCATTTTAACCCTAAAGTCACTTTATTCTTCCCATTGTTGGCAGTGTTTGATTTTCACACTTATATTGTATAGCAGCAGCTTTGAAAATGCTCAAGTTCTTTGACCCATATCCAGCGATTCTCTGTCTCTCTAGATCTAATGCATTACAGTACATATTTTATAAGAGTCCCTTTACTACCCTAAAATGAAATCTTGGGTCATATAACCTATCTAAAGTCATAATTTCAAAAATGCAAGACAATACTTCAAGGAAAGTAATTTATAATAAGTAAGACATGCCAGTGTCTGTATCTATCTATACACAGAATGCCATGGCAGCCTCAAATGTAGACTGAGACCCAGACTTAAGGACTGGTCACAACTGGGAGTTCTCAGGTTGGCATAGCAACAAGAAAGGAGAGAATGGTTGAGTCACTGTGCACTGGCCTAAAGTACTTTTCCTTTAAAGAGGGCAAAAGAGGTTAATCCTTCCATTGACCTGGGACTGGAGAACCTGACAGCTTTGGCGTGATTGAGTCAAGCCCTGGGCTCTCATATCCTGCATGTATCTGACCACACAGCCTTTGACAGGAGGATATAGCATGCGTTACACACCTGGCTCTCCCCATTTATGCCAACAAAACTCCCCCAGGCAAAGATGCCTTGGTACATCTTTAGCAGGTGGCCTTCTTTAAGAATCACTACATTCAACTACACAGGGATTTATTCTTAGGTAATTTGAAAGGGACAATGTTATTTGTTTGAATACATTGATTTCAAGGTTATTTTAATAGTGTAGAATTGGAAACAATTTAAGTAGTTTATTGAATAGGAATGTTTAATTAGCTATGACTTATCCAAAGAAGAATATATAAATAAAATACTATCAATATGAACTAAAAATATCACTGATGATATACTGTTGAATGAAT